TTGGACAAATCACACAGCTAATATATAGCAGTTAGTTGGCTAGTAACTGAGTGTTGCTCTGGGCAACCAGATTTCACAATGCTTTCAATCCCAATAAGGGAAGTTCTCTGTTTTTAACCAATCAATGGCTATGGGTGTGTATGTATGTGTACGTGTGTATCAGCGTGTGTGTGTGTAATTTATGATGACTCAGTGTCTAAGAAGGTACAAAGATTGTAGTTAATCTATTTCTGGTTCTTATATTACCTTTCAGGAATGGGCTGCGAAGACCTGGCTAAAATCTTTGAATCATTTCCTGCCAACATATGGCTGTGTCCCATTTTGGAAGGTCAGCAATGTAATGGGGTCTAGATAAATTTTAATATTACTTGAGTTTTCTGAGTGCCACCCCTGAAGCAGTATTGGCCCCAGCCTAGCCCATTATACACATGATAATGGCAGACTACTAGAGTTTTAATGAGCCCATTAGCTTGACATTAAGAGAAATATATAACATATTTTGGAGCCATAGAGGAGGTAGACACTGCTGGGGTACAGAGAGAAAGCTTCACAGAGGAGATGAACATTAAAATGGGTTTTAAAGGATGAATAGGAGTTTACAGATAGAACAGAGGAAAGGCATTCTAGGGAAATAACAGCATACCCAAAGGAAGCTTTGCCCTTCAGGAGAAAAAGTGTACTTTTTCTCTTTAGGTTACTATAGAAGAGTTCACTAATACTGTTGTCTATACTGGGCAAAATGCATAAAAGTGAGGTCCTCAGATAAGCTGAACTGTACATCAATCACACTTTGGATGCTCATTTGTTGTGTATAGATAGATATGGTTACGGAAAACAGATGGTGACATTCTCCAAGACCCTTCTGGGGGAAAACTATCATGTATAATCTGACATATGTCATAACAGAAGGTAATGAGCTGAACCATGGGATTTGAACAGTGTGTGATGGTGAATGGGTGATAAGATCAGAACCACTTTTCTGTTTATTTAAAGGTCAATTCAAATTAAACGCTTCATTTCTTGCTTTGGCCTTGCTCATTGGGTGTTATCTGGGTGCTGATATTTTGCGGGGAGCTTGGCCTATAGCAGTAAAGAGGCAGCCATGGCCCCTGCCTGCCTCAATGAGTTAATAATTTAGCCCATACTCATCTTCAGAAGGACTCAAAGCAAATCTAATTCTACCAGTTAGAATAAAGGCAACATGTCCAAACATAACCAGAGAAACACATGTGATTCCCTGTGAAGATCAAGCATGAAAGGGATGAACTCAGGGGCAGTTTTACTGATCTTTGAAGTAGAGAAATGAGGCTGTGTTAGACCTTCATAGACCTTGGGCTTCGTAGGTTTGGGAGCTCCACTCCAAACCGTACTCCCATACTAAGTAGGATTTTTGCTTTTAAAAACTCAGCTTTTCAAATTATTGGGCTATGACAGTGATGGCGAACCTATGACATGGGTGTCAGAGGTGACACGTGAACTCATTTTTTAGGTTGATTTTTCTTTGTTAAATGGCATTTAAATATATAAAATAAATATCAAAAATATAAATCTTTGTTTTACTATGGTTGCCAATATTAAAAAATTTCTATATATGACACGGCACCAGAGTTAAGTTAGGGTTTTTCAAAATGCTGACACACTGAGCTCAAAAGGTTCGCCATCACTGGGCTATGAGTAACTCATTTAATTTAGAATTGCCTCTGAGTTCTTGGAAATCACAAGGCATATTTAGAAATCTTAGCAAAGTAAGAAAAATCCAACCTACAATTTATTTTTAAATATAATCAATTAGTTATGAGCCCTAAATGTAACAATGAGATTGACACGATATTGTTTTCTACACATCTGTCTGCAAATTAATAAACACTTACATTTGTTTAAGTATTTATTAATTTCTATTTTGTAGTTTTCCCCTTTCATATTTTGGAGCCAAATTTTTCATTCAGCTCTCAAACATTCTCGTAGGCCCTGGGCATTCTGCCCACAATGCCTAATGGATAAAATGGTATTGCACACAGAACCCAGAGTGAAATGACCAATGAAATTAAGTAAAGGTGTCAGTGTATATGGTTTCCAAATAACTTTGGGAGCTCTTTTCCACTCTGTGCCAAATTCTTATAGAAGCAAAAAGAGAGGCACACACTGAAAGGGAGCAGTCTCTGTTAGCAATAAAGTATTTGCATAGCCCAGCCAATGTGGCTCAATGGTTGGGCGTCAAACCAGGAAGTCATGGTTTGATTCCTGGTTAGAGCACATGTCCAGGTTGCTCACTCCCCAGTAGGGGGCATGCAGGAGGCAGCTGATCAATGATTCTCATCATTGATGTTTCTATCTCTCATTCTCCCTTTCTCTCTGAAATCAATAAAAAAAATATTTTTAAAAAGTATTTGCATGTTTGGTGTAGAGTGAGAAACACAAACAGGGCTGATGCAGTTCAAAATAAACTGTAAAGGGAAAGGACAAGGCGAGGGGAACTAATATTTTTAAGCCCTTGCTGTGCTAAGCACTGTGCCAGGTCCTTTCTATGTATTGCTTCATTTAAGTGTCACACCAACCCTATGATTATTCCCATTGTACAGATGAAGAGAGCAAAACCTGAAGTTCAGAGACCTGCCAAGGAAGAATAGCTATGAAGAAACAGAGCCAGGAGCGGCCTACCTCCAAAGCCCATGCTTTTCCACAGTACTCATGTGTCTTCTTGTTTCACGAAAGGGTGGGGGTCATATTATATGATTATCTTTTCCTAACCGCTCATTTAATGAGTGATGAATGTCTTTTCATGTGGATGGGATGTAAGAAGGAGGTAGAGGCTGAAGTTTCCCAGAGAGCAAAGTTGAAGTGATAGAAGGCAGAATTCACTGTCTTTCTTTCCTCCCTCAGTGATTCATTAGTAGAAAAAACTGTGGTGGATAACATTTCTGAAGCCCACAGTCTGTTTGCAACATCAAGGGAATCTTTAACTATGGAAAGTCCCAATTCACAATCAGATTGGAACATGCCCAATACACTACATGGTCCACCCCTTTACAGTACTTCTCAGAGTGCAGTCCTGGACTACCTCCCCCCGAACTAGCCAAGGAGCTTACTAAAATGCATATTCTTAGGCCTGGGCTTGGAGAGTAAGGGAGTGCATGTGCTGTGTAGTAACAGCAAATAAAATGGGAAGAAGTCTGAGGTTTATAGACTTTTCAGACTTGGAATGAAAAAGGTTGAGTCTAAAAAAGAAAACATGTCACCTTCCTGCCAAAGTAAACTGTAATGAAAGTTTAGACCCCACCACCTCTCAGCCAAGCATTTCCTGTTCTGGTCTCCCCTGTCTGCCTCGCACAGGCTCAGATGAAGGGAGAGCTATTTTTAAGGTGCAAACAACCAGCGCTAAGAATGAGAGAAGTTATTTATTTATGGTTACACCTTTCGACTATTCTTGTTCTCCTCTGGAGACAGAGCCTGGTTTGGCTTTCCCTTTGAATCTGACGTCCGTGGGGTAATGACTTTGAAAGGTCATGGCCAGTCTATCCTCTGCAGACAGGAATCATTGTCTTGGGCAATGCTAGTCAGAAAGCTGTTTACCACTTCTTGAGGAATTCCTCCTAATGTACACCCACACCCACCGGGTTTAGGCAACACGTATTCTTGAGAAGTGTTTTGTGAGACATACTTTATGTGTTAGAAGGTGATTAAGATTCATTTGTGGCTTTGTTATTTAAGAAATCCAACTGTAAATCCCCTCCCCCTATTTTTTTTCAACAGAGGATTCCATTATCATGCAAATAGATATTCTCTAATTTATATGGATTTGTAAATTCAGACTTTGAATTAGATTTTCTTAAGGCAGTACACCTGTGCCTGTAGTGTTCTCAGAGCCAACAAGATTTTTTTTGGCATAGAGAGCTGCATCTTTCCTCTTCTAATTCAGAGGTCTTTTCTTATTCCATTCAGTTTGCCATTCTTAATACCAACCTCACTGGACCCCTGTAGGCCTTTGGAATTTGCTAGTAAACAAAAGAGAAAAGCCCTCCCTCTCACACTCAGGTAAGCAGCAGCATCTTGGTGTTGGCTGTTACCCCCATAAGCTCACTGACATTATTTCCTTCCCAGCACTGACAGTACAGTGTCTGCTTATGTCACACACTACAATGTAAGCATCGCGAAGGTTTGGGTCACCTTTTAATTCGTCACTGCATCATAAGAATAAAAACTACACTAGATGCTTAAAAGTCATTCAGTTGACACATTTCCATTTATCTCAAATTGTCATCACATTGGAATTCTATAAAGTGCTGATGAGGTCATTCCTTCCCTTTCTTTTATTTTCTTTTTAACATGATGCCTTTCTAAATATCCTAGCTCCACTCTTTTTACCCACTGGCTCAGGCATTATTATGGGAATTACTTGAGGATAAGAGGATGACTCCTTTCTAAATACAAGTATCTCTGTGTTTTAAATGAATCAAACTGTAAGCCAGTAACTGCAGAACAAGTTGGTTGGCATGACCCACTCCCAGCTTCCTTGCTTCCTCTACTTCTAGTGGGCTCTTGGTGTGCCAGGCCAATGGGGTCATGACTCAGCTTTTGGTGAAAGGAGGGTCCTTGCTGCTTCACTGCGCTTGTACAAAATTTGGTGCCTTGTACCACATAGGGAAGAAACAGAAAGACTAGAAACTATTTGAGGGTAGAACCTAGGTCTAAAAGCAGATCTATCAGAAAGATGGAAACAACTTAATGATTCAGTATGCCCTGGAATGGCCCAGGAATCCATGATGCCTTTGGATCAACAATAGTTGGCACACAGTAGGAATTCAAAAAAGTTTTGCTGACCAATGAATGGAAAAAATGATGCAAAAATAATGCTGAGCTAGGGTATTTAGATATGCTTACCACTTGGAAGACATACTTACTTCTTGGAAGGGTCAAGTTCTTATTTTGGGAACATTTCTATTACTCTGAGTGCAGTGGAAAAAAATAAATTGGAATAAAAATCCAGTCAGTTGCTCACTCACCTTTTTACTAAAGTGGGGACCATTAGCCCCTCCAATGCCTCTTTGCACTGATGGTGGTACTTGATATACATCTTGTTCCTGGGTACCATGGCCAGTGGGTACTTGATAAATTCCCTGATGTTGGTAGGAAGGTGGTACTTGGTAGATGATGTCTCGAGGAGCACCCTGTGGGTTTGGCACTTGATAGAGCTTCTGTTGGCCAAAGGCCTGGTGCATCAGTCCAGAAGTAGGCTGGTCCTGACTGGAGGAGGTCTCCTGTACTGGGCCAATGAGAAGCTTCACCCGGTTGCCTGGGACAATCCCTTGCCGGCCGTGTAAGGAGCAGAGCCACCATCCTTCCAGTCCTCCTGTGTTCTGCTCTATGACAGTCAGGATGTCTCCCTTGCGGAAGGCCAGCTCCTCAGCACACTCTGGGACATTGTCATATAAGGCTCTTGCCATAAGATTCTAGGAAGGAAAGAACAGAGGGGAATCATGTTAGAATAGTAGCTTAGTCCCTTTAACACCTAAAGCTCATGCTCCTATGGAGAGGCACACCTCCTGGAAAGAAGAGAAGAATAAATCTAAACGATTGCCTGTAAGGAGAAAAACAGATGGTGCAGACAAAAGACAGATACATGCATTCTGCGTCTGCCACCAATGACATCAGACTGCCTCGTTGGAAAGGCTCAGAACACCACAAGAGCTCTTTCCTCTCGCAGCCGATGCCGTGCCAAGGAATTATGAGCAGCTCTGTAAAGATTCAGAGGATGGTTCCCTATACAAAGCATTTTTCTTCCTCTCCCAAAGCCAGCTTAGGAAGGAAAATATTCCAAGATATTCAGATATACTACAACTGACATTTCTCCATTTTTTCATAAAGAGTTAAAGAACATCCCTAAAAACCAACAGTATGAATGGCATTTATATTCGGAGTTAAAATGGAAACAAAAGTACACTTATACATGCCTTGGCAGCGCTTACAAATTCTCATTCTCAGTTGATCACAAGGTCCTTGGATACAGGAGAATCTCCGAGCAAGCATTTTTCCAAGATCCATCAAGCATGGAGCACAGTGTGACAGTATTTGCATCTCCAGATTAGATGGCGGGGAGCTACAAAGAATGTCTCACACGTGGGTAGTTGCCATTTCTTTCTCTTTTGGTCTTTTATTCATACCTTTCCTGAAGGCCCCTTCTCACCGTGCCACTATTTCCTTGAGTCTCGCCATTCACATCAGAAAGGCTGTGCCTTTCCCTTTCAGGGGCCCGAAACACTTTCTCTCTTTGTATGAAGGCCTGTCTGGTACATTCAGTACTAAGCAGACAGCCAAAGTAGGCATTCAGCAGAGAGTGGGCAGGCAGTACGTGCTGACATTCTTGGAAGCCTTTCAAAGGCTCCAAAGATTTCATTTCTTGGCGTTAGTAATGTTTCGCAGCATGATGGCAGCCATCACCACATGCCTGCTCCTTCCCAGCGCACAGAGGAGTCGGGGAGCGTTGTAAATTCACTGCAAGCACTCAGAAAACTAAAAGTGATCCCCCTAGAGCTCCACTAAAATGCCTGGATGCACTAGAAATTGCTGCAATGATGACCATTTGTGGGAGGAAGGGCTGCCGAAGGGATGGAACATGTTTGTGACTTTACACAATAGTGGAATTTGAGGTTGTTGTTTGGACTTCTGTGCCCTGTTTTCGTCTCTAGAAATGTGGACTTGATCTTTGAGTTTCATGCTTTGCATTCCTTTATAACTGACACACATTAATCATCTTCCCCGTATGGTGCCCCATAGCCGCAGGCCTTGCTCTGTGTGCTGGTTCTCCACTATGGAGCAGCTGTGCTCTATAAGGGATCTCCCCTCTGGTTGGTGGTTGAGATGGGGTCCTCTGTTTACTCTGATCACCAAACTCCTTAGTCAGCACAACTACTTAACCTAAGGAAAGGATATAAGGCCATAGTGGTCAGTACCAGGAAGCCTAGTGATGCTCTTTAAGGATAAGGTTAAAGTTTTGAGCTCCAGGAAGTCAATGTACCCAGGTGAGCAGTGAGGGAAGCCAAAGGGAAACTAAGGGGTTTGTGTTCCAGGTGAACACTTTACTTAGTATTTATATTCTAGGAAGCTTTGGGTTCCTTTCAACAATTAAAAGTTCATTTAATAAAGACAGAATCATGCATTATTTTATTCTGCTTTGAGGAGCCATTTAAGAATGTGTCCTAATCTCAATATCTCTTCTGTTTCTCTTCTTCCATCTTTCGGATGTTCTGTAGTTTAAAAGAAAAGTCATAGATTACAGAAGACAGGATTCTGGTTGTTTGTACCAAAATGGTTTGAGGAAAATTACTTCCCAAAGTGGACTGAAATTATAGAACAGGGAGAGAGCTGACCTTGAGTCTCTGTTCCTTTTTCCAGGGCCCATTCAACAACTGGGAATGGCTGGTAAGGAGGCCCCGAGATGAAATCAGAAGTGATAAAGAGTAGGGGCCAGTTCTACGGGAACTGAGGGTGGATAGCTGTGCAATTATATTGGATTCAAAGTAAGGAAAGAAAAGAAACAGAAAACAATACAAAGGCAGAAGGCTACAGACTTAATCAGCATGAATAAGTAAGTAAGTTGAGGCTTCCGGAGTTGGCCCTGCCATGGGATTCATGAAGCACTGAAGTAGAGCACAGACCATGCGTGATCAGAGGCAGGCAGAAGTCCTTGTGTGAGGGTGTTCTGGATGGTTTGTCTCCTGTCCCAGTGACCTTCCCACCAACTGGTAAGCAGCACGCTAATGTTTCTAGATGTGCCCCAAGAGCTGCTTCTCTGGGAATACTTTCAGAGCTTATTGTCCTTGCTAATGTAGCTGCCTGGGTGAATTCTCCTGATTAGTTGTCCATGATTTCCAAGCAGTCCTCCTTACTGCCTATGGAGATCAGGACTTAGAGAGAGTTTGGCATGGCTGTTAGTGCTAGGCACCCCATTGCTAGCTTGACAACTCACACATGGATAGATATTCTTAGTCTTGGCTGAATAGGAGTGAATTATTTAATGTCTATGCAAGCTACAGAGAGCCAACGTCTACACCCAGCCACTCTCCCAAACAAAAGATTCCAGCTACAGAGAACTTTAGAGACACCTGGACCCATCCTCCCTGTTTTACAGACAAGGAAACAGGTCTGGGGAGGGCAGGGCCGGAGTGGGGAGTTTATCATTTGCCTAAGGCCACACAGTTGGTGTCTCAGAGGAGAGGAGAACTGTGGTATCAGTCCAATTCTCTCTCCAGAACTCTAAGCCACCTTAGCTCTACTACACAGTGTCCTCCTGACTGGGCTCAATTCCACTATATTTCATTCAGTAAAGTTCTAAAGATGACCAATTCTTCTTGTCAGGTCTATAAATAGATTCTTGGGATTTGGTGTCCTAACTGTGCAACTTGGGCAGACTACCTCTCCCCTTGTGCCTTAGCTTCCTCATCTATAAAATGAGGATATGAATAACAGCACCCACCTCATGGGTTTGCCACGAGGATTAAATGAGGTAATTCAAGTCAAGTGCATTAACACTGACAGAGACTTAGAAAGTTACTATGACTAATTTGCTGGATGGCACTTTGGCCTTGGGCTTCCTACCCTGTTCGCCTCCTCTCAGTTCTCTGTCAAAGACTGGTCCTACCCTAATGATGCTACTATATATACATATCTGATATTTCCCTTGCTCACAGTTACATTTAGGAGAACCATCTCTTAAAACAATAATGCTTTGAATTGCTAATGAGTTCTAGGCATTGCAACCTCTTGTTGAGTATCTGCCTACAAGCAGCAATAATGAAACTGCTTGTTGCATTCAGGAGACCTTCTAAGGCAAAATACTAATACTAATACAACGATATTACTGGGCAAATGTTGAATAAGTATTATTAGATTCTAGCAGAGTACAAGCCATCAAAAAGGGAGGGAACATGGATAAGGGCTTGGCTTTTGGAAATACTTGGTGTGGTAGGGCAGGAGTTCAGTAAGATGATAACAGCAAAATTAACTTCAGCCAGACCACAAATCTCTCATTCAAAAGAGCACATGCAATTTATAAAGAGGCGAATGAAGAGTTTAATCTGCTACCTAGGCGAAGGTGGGGGAACCCTCTCCTTCAGTGCAAAGGTATGAGTCCGTAAGGCCACAAAGTCAGACGGTAGTTATCTGAGTATCTTAGAAAAACCCAGGAAAGGCAGACCTACTCTTTCTCGCCCCCCCCCACCCCCCCCACCCTATATTTACCTCCATGGCAGGAAAAGTCAACACAGAAACAACTCAAGGAGAGATAAGAGAGCTATACAATTCTGTATCTATTTGGATGGTTAGCCTCCAGAGGCTGGCAGTTAGAAGTGCAGCTTGAGCTTGGCAAAGCACCAAACAGTGGGGCACAGAACTTGAAAGCCAGAGGAGCTTTAAACAACTATAGTCAAACTCCGCCACTTTATAAATGAGAAAAACGAGGTTCAAGAAGTTAATGATTTGCCAAAGTCACCTGGCAAGAAGGACATGGAGCTGGGACAAGAATTCAGGCTTTCTGTCTCCAGCTCCAGAATTAGGACAGCATTGAATCCAGTCAAATACATATGCTACAGAAGTTGTGGCTCTAATCAGGATTCTAATTGGCCTTTAGGGTCATAAATCCTGTTTGAGGGGACCCTAATTATAGCAGCCTCTCACATGGATCCCCATCCCAATATTTCTTGAAACTATTCTGGCTTCTACTTCTCTCTCTCTTCTCTTGTTCTCATGACCACTCACCTTCCTTTCAATCACAGGCTAAAAAAAATTTAGCTCATTCCTTAAGTGATTATATTCCAAAGGGATGTCTCCTTGGCACTTGTCTAGCTCCCTACAGGCAATCTCATCCATGGTGGTGGTATCTAAACACAGATAGCACTCCGATCCAGAGCTTCAGCCCAGATATTTGTTCTGCATGCCAATCCCACATTTCCAACTGTCGAATGGGTTCTTTATTTCAAAATTAACAAGTGCAAAATTCCCTTTCTCCTGCTTTATCTTAGTTAACATTATGCACGCAGCTGAAAACCTCTGAGATCTGAGTGTCTTCACAACCTGACACCCAATCAGCTTGGACCCATTCCCCTACTCACTGCCACTCCTAGTTCAGGCCCTCAGCAACTTTTGCAGGGAGTAAGGCAATTGCTTCCCAATGGTTTTTTTGCATTTGAGGTGGTCTTCCCACCTCAAAATCTATCTTCCACATAACCAGAATAGTTATCTTAACAAAACCTATCTAATCGTGTCTCTTCCCAGTTTTCTGTAATGGTAGTTCTTACTGTATAACTTGTATTAACCAATTCAAAATTGGAAGCTCCTTAAAGTCCAGGGAGACTGTCTTATTGCTTTGGCCTTTTCAGAACTTTATAGCCCAGTGTCTGAAACAAAATACACACTCATTAGATGTCTAAATTGAAATTGGTTCTGGATCGGATTTCTTGGTTCTCTACAGAGAGGGTAAAATTCTTTTTTAGAGAGATCAGCATGATATTTGGTCAAAATTTCCAGATGGACATGGGAAGGTAAACTAATGGGACAGAGAGATAAGTGGTGTGTCCAAGTCACCAAGCCTCACAGCCAGAGAACGTGGGAGACAGCAAGCAGGAAATTGCCTGCCCCTCCCTATTAAAACAGGATAATGAAGTAGATGGGGAGCCTGAATCTAGTGTCCACAACCATTGAGCAAACAGGAAGGCCAAGAGGAACTGACCATCCCAGCCAGATTAAATACAATGTTTTCTATAAGAGCCTTTCTCCCTTCAATGTAGCAACCCACATCTGGCAGCAGGTGACTGAGCACATTCATACTTTGCCAGAACATTTGGTTTCTGCTGTTCCTGGTTCCCAAGCTATGCCTAAGGAGTGGGAAGAAAATACTATACAACTAGCCAGAACAGTGGGTACAGAGAGCTGTAGGTCACATGGTAACTCCCACATCATCCCCCACTCTTCCCTGCCTTTTTTCCCCTCACTGCTATCGAAATGTCAAGAAAGCTTAATACTCCTACGGCCAGGGAAACTATCTGCTATTCCAAATACAGAGAGGTGTGACTTATAATTTCCATGACCATTCATGCTGTTCTTTGAAGAGAAATTAGACACAATGGCTGGTGTGTCACCCCACTAGCACTGATAGCATCATCAATGGCCCAGCTTCCTCTTATTATTTTTACTTTATTCTATATTTATCATGTAGGAGCTCCTGCCACAGCCTCAGGGCTGCCACAGTCTCAACAACATGACTTTCCTGTACCCAACCCCCTAAACTTTAGCCTTGGGATCTGGCAGGGTATGCAGCATGTGCGCCCGTGTACACACACACACACACTTTGTGCAGGCCAGATCGTGAGAAACAGACACAGTACAGAAGGAAATGGCCATCGTCAAGGAAATAGGTTCTAAAGGAAGTGGCTGAAGGATGAGCATCAGGGTCAGTGTGAGGACACAGGGGAAGAGAAAGGCTTGTGTGCTTTTGTGCCTGCTGACAAAAGTCAGCTTCAGGCCGAGGGTCGTCAAACCACTTTGACTTCCGCCCACCATCACCTTTAGGGTATCAGGGAAGTGGAATTTCCCAAAAGAAAGAAACAGTCGTGATCAGAACATATGGATATCTACAAGTGCCTGGATTTCGCTTCTTGGAATACTTGGTTTACACCTGGGTTCTTTCCTTGGATGATCTGGGATGTCGAATTAACAATTTTCTTGAGATTGTTAAGTAGTAGACACAAAGTTTATAAGTTCGGGAGTTAGAAGATGTGGTACACAGCACATCCAAGTGGTTTCTCAGCAATATTTATCAATTGCAATTTGACACACTTTCATCATGTGATCTGAACTAGTCACAGAAAGGCAGCAGCAGAATCCTCTTTGGCCTCATGAGTCCCTTGTGCTGCTGGTTACAT